TGTCTGTCTGTCTGTCTGTCTGTCTGTCTGTCTGTCTGTCTGTCTGTCTGTCTGTCTGTCGATTTAGCTGAGTAAAACTTTAAAACTATCTTTGGATCTTTTAAGTATTCAAAGAACACAAAGATAGCTGGTATCACTGGAGGTGCATCAACAGCAGCAGGAGGGGTCGCAGCGGCTGCTGGGGTGATTCTGGCCCCTTTCACGGGAGGAGCCTCTTTGGCCCTTACGGTGGTTGGTGCCGGGGTCGCTGCAGCCGGCGGTGTCACAGGTGCATCAGCAGCTATTGCGAACAAGGTAACTTGCAAACTAGGCAATGATTAACCCTTTGTTTACAATAGATTATGACAAATAACATTTGAAAAGTAGAAATCAAACTACCATCCATCATCAGTTTAATCCCTTAACATTTATATTTTTCCAGGCAAACTTAAACCAAGACAAGAGGAAAATTGAAAAGGTATTAAATGATTTTAGTGTCAAGTATGAGGAGATTATCATCTGTCTGAGGTTCATCAATGAAGGCATGGACCTACTGAAGCGACACGGTGTGGTTTGTCTCAATCAAACCATGATGGAATCAAAGAATGCAGCCTGCGCGGTGAAGCTGACTACAGGAAGTGCTAGTGCCATGGCGTCGGAGAAGAGCAGCAACGCTTTTGGAACATTGAAAGGCTTTACAGTTGCCATGGATTTCTATTTCACCCAAGACAAAGATGGAACGAAGGTGAAGAAAGGTCTCCAGTCAAAGCTGGCCAATAAGATCCACAAACTAGCTGAAGATCTTAACAGTGGAGTGGATGAGCTACTGGAAATAAATGAAGTCTTTAATAGGGAATTGTAATAACGATCAATCTTGACCTATTAAAGTAAATTTAATAAAGGCTGAGGTTTAACATATATAATTTTTAATCAGGATAGATACAGATTATGAAAATCACATTACTGAGCCTTTATTTACTTTACTGATTCCTGATTTAATTCTGTGTGTATAATGCTCGTTGTAGTAACCAGGAGAAAGGATCTTCACCAACAAAATCTGTTTTTATTCAAGCACCTTCAAAATACCCTTGATGGATACTTTAGAAAGCCAAATGTCAGACTATTTTATGAATAAGCCTATCTTAACTGATCTGATCCAAGAGGGCAGTGATACAATTGAAATAAACAAATTAACCATTTTGAGAGATATGTGATGTACTAATAGTACTAATAGCAATATTCAATTGCAAAATAAACAATGAAACCTTGAATAACCAATCTTTTAAAGGTAGTTTTGTGATTTAAAGGAGATTGTTGCTTATTTTATTGTAGCACCTAATGTAAAGCAGTTGACTAGACTAACTTTTGAGCAGGTTGGGGTGGGAATGTGGTGGTGATTGTGGTGGGATTAAATTAGTTTTAACTACCGGGTGAATACTGGTGCATGACTGCTAATTATACATAACTAGTGGTAATAAGTGAACATAAGTAATCAGAAAAAATGGCAGATGGGAAAAATGTGTTATCTAAACATCAAAATCAAAATATTTTGGTTGGATTTGGAGGGATCAGAATTAAAATTGTATTTCCACTGAAAAAACCTTTTTGTATCCATTTGTTTCTTATTGGCTAACCCCAAAAAGTGACTAACAGAAAAAGCAATGAGAAGTAAATCTGAGTACTAGTTTCACTAACTTACTACAATCACTTGTCATACTTGTTTTTGTTTCACTGTGTTTTGTTACATTTACTTGATAAAACCTACTTTGACTTTTGTGAAATTTTATATCATATTGAAAACACATAAATGCATGGATGATGATTGTGGTCTGTTTTCATTTGCACAAACACTCAGATTGTATTTTCAATGTACGTTGCTTGTGTGCATTGGGCTGTACAGATGTAATGAAGCAGCATCCACCAAAGTTTTTTTTTTACTTAGTCTTTGGACAAAGACTAAGTAAAAAGTCTGTGGGTCTGGTAGACTTTGACTCTGCGATCTTCGGGTCTGAGAGAAGAGACACACTAGTGTTCAGCCACATTACTTGGTCATCTAATTCCCCATCCACCTCCAGAGAAGAGTACGTTCACTGGCGACCCAGACTAACTCCTGTCTACGATTCAGGGAAAACTGAGTGTAGTGACTTACTTCCAACCAAGTTGAATGATGTATTTTTCAGTGCGAACCTGCCTGCTGAAGCAGATGAGGAAAACTATCCACTTTGCCGCCTGGTTGACCCTCATTTGCTGCCCACGGAACAGCCCAGGCCCGACAGCTGTTTTGCCAAGGTGCAGCTGCAAAGGGGTTAACCAAGCCCACTGGTTCATCCTCTGTTTTGAAGCTGTGCTGCCTGAATACAAAGCTATACATCGCTACAGGAAAGAGCCATTCTCTCAAAGGTGCTATAAGTGATCATATTAAGCCCTGCAGATCTGCTTCTTTTGTTACTGCATCAGATTAATCGAAGTGTCTCCGTAAGCTACCTGTTTGAACGAATGCATGGGGTTCTCAAACTGGACTAAACCAAACCAAAGCAGCCCAAACTGGACATTGTCCCCTCCTTTCCACTGAGCCAACACTCATTAACCCTCTTATTCCCCTCTTTCATTTGATGCTTAATAAGTACTCTGCTTGGGTGAGGAGTAGAATAGATAATTACATGTGTTTAATTTAAGGGGAGTGGGTTGTGAGTTCAAATGCCACTCTCACAGACTGCCACCCCTGATTGCTCCCCAGGTGGTCCATGATGGCAGCCCACTGCTCCTCAAGGGGATGGGTTAAATGCAGAAGTAAATTTCTCCAAAGTGAGATCAATAAAGTTCAATTATAAAACAAACTCCTTAATTTGATGTTTTTATATCAAAGGTTCTGAACTGAACACTGATTTAATGAAATATGTGTGTGGATTGTTGCAAATGCAATGCCTTCTGTTTGCCCATTTTGTCCTGAGAGTTAATGTGATAAGGTTGCCAGCATTGTTAGCACCAGGCTACCTCTTTTTGGTCACATGCACACAGTAGCCGCCATTTTGTGAATTTAAAACCAATTGTTCTAGCAGCCTCCACCTCATAGCTGGGCCTCCTGGTGTTACCTGAGCTAACCCATTTTGCTCCAGTGCTGCTACATTTTAATGCATTTCTTAGTCATTGTACCTTTGTCACTGTAAAACCAAGTGAAGCTACATTGTTTTTATTGCAGTTAAGTTAAGGTGACCAGATTTCTGAAATCAAATCTGGGGACATTTCTTGCTCGTGGATAAAAATCAATACATCTTATCGAGATGAAATTAGGAAACGGGGACAGTAATGGTTTCATATATTTTTACATATTTATTAATATTTAAACAACAAAAATCAAGTGTAAAAGCCAGGAATGTGCCTTTCCAAACATTTAGTGTATCCTAAGATTAATAACATGAATAGTGTTATTAGTAGAAAACTAGAACTGTGTCTCTGGGTTGGCGC